ACCCCCCGATGGACGGCCCCGGCCAGACACGGCCCGCGTGGTGCGCCGGGCGCGCCCCTGCGGCGGCAGGCCTCGCGAGCGGCCACGTCCGGCCCCAGCGCCCACAGCGGCAGGTCGCCCCGCTCCTGCGGGGGGGCAGCGACGGGCTCGAGCGCCCTCGGGCCACGGAGAAAAAAACACGGCGGGCCTCCTCCTCCTCCTCCTCTTCCTCCTCCTCCTCCTCCTCCTTCGCCTTCTTCTCCTCCTCCTCCTCCTCACTCCTCGTCCTCCTTTACAACCTTCCTCCTCCTCCTCCACCTCCTTCTTCTCTTCCTCCTCCTCCTCCTCCTCCTCCTCCTCCTCCTCCTCCTCCTCCTCCTCCTGGTTTCGCTATTTTGCGGCCTCCGGGGGCCCTGGCCCAGACGCCGTGGGGTCATAGAAAATCACGGCGGGAGGCTTTTCGCCATTTTCGGCCTCTGGGGGCCCTGGCCCAGACCCTCTCGGGCAATGAGCAAATCACGGCGGGAGGTGTTTCACCATTTGCGGCCTCTGGGGGCCCTGGGCCAGACCCTCTCGGGCCATGGAAACATCACGACGGGAGGTGTTTCGCTATTTTCATCCTCTGGGGGCGTTTCCCGGGCTTCGGGACAGGCAAAAACTGGCTCGGGATGAGAAACCGGTCCTGGGGAATGGGTCGAGACCTCTTGGGGGTCGACGCTGTGAAAAAAACATGACGTCGGGGATCTGAGGGGGGGACTGGCTCAGGGGGGGAACATCGACCTCGAATCGGCGATACATCGCCGATATATCGGCCAGAGGGCCCGATAGCGAATTCGCACGCTCCTGAGCGGGATGGGCTATCGGGCCTTTATCGGCGATGAATGGGCGTTTGGGGGTCGATGCGTTCCCCCCTGAGCCTATATCCCTCCTGACGGTGCCCCGATCGTCGTATGGCTTTCAGGTCCTATAGCTCGGCTCTCCCTGGCGGCCGCTCGGGACGATCCTGCTACACCCCCGGAACGCCCTCGGCGAGGCGCAGTTGCTGGAGCGCAGCCCCAGGCTCTAGGAGACCGCCGAGCTCCGACGACAGCGCCCGAAGACCTCCGACCTCGAAGCTCGAGGCGCCCGCCCCCCCGCCCGTGCCAGCGGCCAGAACCACATACCAGACACAGCCACCTGAGGCGTCCTGGAGCCTCTCCTGGAGCCTCCTGGGGCCTCCTGGAGCATCCTGGGGCCTCCTGGGATTTCCTGAGGCCTCCTGGGACTCGTGGGGCCTCCTGAGGTCTCCAGGCGCCTCCTGGGGCCTCTTGATGCCTCTTGGCACCTCCTGGGGCCTCCTGGGGCCTCCTGGGGCCTCCTGGAGCCCTCTGGGGCCTCCTGGGATTTCCTGAGGCCTCCTGGGACTCGTGGGGCCTCCTGAGGTCTCCTGGCGCCTCCTGTGGCCTCCTGATGCCTCTTGGCACCTCCTGGGGCCTCCTGGGCCCTCCTCGCGCCTCCTGGAGCCTCCTGGGTCCTCCTGTGACCTCCTGGGGCCTCCTGGGGCTTCCTGAGGCCACTCTGTGGCCTCCTCGGAACTCTTGTGGTTTTGTGGAAACTCTTGGGGCCTCCCGGGGTTTCCTGAAGCCCTCTTGGAGCTTCCTGGAGCCCTTCTGCGGCCTCCTGGAACCTTCTGTGATTTCGTGGGACCTCATGGAGCCTCCTGGGAACCTCTCGCCCCAGAACTTATGGATTTTGTCTACGTATGTCTGTGTATCTATATATAGTGCATATATACATACATATATATATAATATATAACTATATATATAAATATATTGTATACAAACATATATGTCACTCGTAACTCGTATACAAACATATATGTATACACATATAACTACTACCAATGTATATACTTGTACACACATATACACACGCCCGCGCGTGGACACGCATTCGAGCAAGCACCCCAAATTCGAGGGGGGTACGGGGGGACATGCTCGGGGGAAATAGTGAGGGCTGCATTTTTGTTGCAGCTTACCCCGCCGCTGCCAAAATTACGTTCACGTGCACCTCTTCTTGGTTGAGAGGTCGAATACTGCCGCGCGCACCCCTGGGCGCGTTGCATCCCGGATGCACCGGAATACATGTCCCTGGTGCTCTGTAGGACCGCGACGCGGCATCCGCCGCGTCGGCGCCCGAGGCCCAATGCCCTCAAAATGCGCCTGCGCGCTCTGTACATGCGCAGACCAGCTGTCTTTCCCGAACAGCTGGGTCGAAGCGACACAAAGGGTCGCATGTCCGCATGTTTCACTCGGACAGTCGTGCGACCCCCGAGAGCCCGGCGCGCGAGCGCCAGCTCCATGGCGCCCCGGGTCCGAAGCTGAGCGCCAAGCATCTGCTGGCTCACATGAATGATCTGCCTGAAATCAGAATTCAGGGTGGCGTGCACCTGCTCATTCCTTGTTGTTCCGGTAGCGAGCAAAGCGTTGGCGCCGGCCGTCAGTCGGGAACGGTACCTCACATGGTTGAAATACCATTCAACCTTACTCGGTCGACACGCCGCCACCAGCTGCTCGCGGAACGTGACCTTGTCATACTTCGTGTCCAGGCGGTCCCAGACGGCACGGGAACCCCAGAGCTGGGCAGCGCACGTTGCCCTGGCACGTGTAAACCTGCCACCCCAGAGCTGGGCAGCGCAGCGAACGCAGCGCCGCGCTGCCCAACTCGGGTGCGGAAGGAATCTTAATCACACTTTGGATCGTTGTCGGCCTCGCAGCGGCGCGGTCGCCACTCGAGGGACGCAGCGGAGAACACATCCATGTCCACATGCGCCCACACATCCTTGGCCGCTTTCAAAATCATGGCCTTTTTCCCAGGGTTGTCCACGATAGCCTTACGGGCGGCCAAGAACTGCAACAGCGGGACTGTGCACCCAGGACTTGGGAAGCGCAGAGCAATGCCGACAAAGACGTGGCGAACGCGCACACAAGAAGTAGCACAGCCGAAATGGCTGCTGATAAACACAACGATTTCGAATTATGTTACGCAATACAATGTAATGCCATGAGTAAGCATTATAATGAAGATGATGATGATGATGACGATGAATAGTATGTTGTTGATGCTAATGATGATGATGATGATGATGATGACGACGATGATAAGGATGATGCTGACGATTATGACGATGACAATGGTGGTGATGACGATGTTGGTGGTGATGATGATGAGGAGGAGGCGGAGGGGAAAAGTAGACAGGTAAGGCAGGAGGAGGAGGGAGAGAGAGAGAGAGAGAGAGAAACAAAAAAAAAAAAAAAAGAGAGAGAGAGACAGCCCGTATAGGTGTCATGCACCTGCAGCCTTTCGCCGGGCTGTGGAAAACACGATGTCGCCGTCAAAGGGCGGTGCATGAGTTCCTCTCCCTCCGACTCCTTTTCCTCCTCCTCCTCCTCCTCCTCCTCCTCCTCCTCCTCCTCTTGCTCCTACCCTCTTACTCATCCTCCTGAGGAGGGGGGGGATGGAGGGAGGAAGGAAAGAGAACGGATGGGGGGAGGGCGAATGAGATCGGAGGGAGGAGGAGGTTGATTGGAGAAGGTGGGGAGAACCTGTAAACCGTGCGTCACGAAATCCAGAATCCACCAGCAAATCCAGGGCGGCGAGGTTTTGCGCAGACGTCGCTTTTTTTATGGAAAAACGACTTTTGCGAAAAATCTATGCAACACCCATCCAGCGCCTCTCACCCTGCTGCGGCAAAGAGAGACAGGAAACAGGACAGACAAGGGGCGATGGGCGAGATGAGACGATCAACCAACTGTCCATTCACAATCTTTTCCAGAGCAGCTCGCTGCGCAAACTGAAAAGGTGCTTTGAAGACTGTGGTCCAGCACGCGTGCGCTTACCCCGTCTTTGCCAACCCCTAGGGCTGGGAGGGTGGGCGCCAGAACTCCTTGAGCCGCAGGGGCCGCGGGAGACACAGGCAAGGCACAGGGGCCCCGAGGACCTTCACTATCTCCCGCTCTGAGAGGCTCCTTGAGGTGTCGCAGAAACGTTTATAAACCAAGCATGCAACACCCATCCAGCGCCTCTCACCCTGCTGCGGCAAAGAGAGACAGGAAACAGGACAGACAAGGGGCGATGGGCGAGATGAGACGATCAACCAACTGTCCATTCACAATCTTTTCCAGAGCAGCTCGCTGCGCAAACTGAAAAGGTGCTTTGAAGACTGTGGTCCAGCACGCGTGCGCTTACCCCGTCTTTGCCAACCCCATACCAACAAGACCCACACTTGTACCATGGCAGGCCTGTCGGGGCGGGTCGGGAGGGGCGAAGCACGACAGTCTGCAACTAAAAGAAAGAAACTAGAACGGGCAGGAAGGCTTACATCACACTGGGCGCCTGTGCTTCCGCAGAGCCACCCGAAGTTTTCCTGGGAGGGCTGAGCCCAGGCGAAGGCTTCTCGACAAGAATAACTGAGAGAACTTTGACCGGACCCGAAGCAGAGTGCCAGCCTTCTCATACCGACGCACGCTCTCCCGCGCCTTCCAGCGGCCTCGGCGCTGGATTGAGCGCAGGTCCTCGAACTTCTCTAGTGCGTCTCGGCTGGCGCCGCCATGACGAAGGCAGTGCGGCGTGAACGCCACAGGCAGCTGCAGGCGGCGGCAGGCGGCGCTCACGGCAGCCTCCAGCTGCGCTAGCGTCAGGCCTGTAAAGAGTGGCCCCTGGCCCGCACGCGCCAGCAAGATATCGAGAATGCTGCCCACGAAGCCCTGGCCCTTGGCAGCACTGCCCAAGAAGACCGTGTCATCGAACGTGTTAGTCTTCGAGGGAATCGGCTGAGTCGCTGGGGCTACTGTCACCGCCCACAGCCTCTGGGGTCCAGAGCGCGGCGGTCGCAAGACATCGGCACCACGCAAGCCCAGCGCCTCAGACGGTCGCAAGTAGCCGTCGAAGGCGACGGGCAGCAGCGCACCTGCAAGCGTGGACTGGAAGTCGCGCCCGATGAGATCGTCCGCGACGGCCAGCACCGCCTCCCAGACCGCGGGTTCGCGGCTCCCAGGTGGCTCAAGTCGGTCCCAGCCTTTGAGGGCCTGCTTGGCCTTAGGGAAGGCGTCACCCTTGGTCGCCCAGCCCTGCTGCCAGGCCAGCCCGTAGAGGCACCATCGGGCGTTGGCCTTGGCCTCGCCCCCGAGGAAGAGCGACTCGAAGTAGCGCTCCAGGGTGGCGTCGGCCGCCCGCGGGTCCGAGAGGCTCCCACCGTTGCAGGCGATGAAGTCGTGGAGCCCCTCCACGCAGTCAGAGTAGCGCGCCGCGGTTGCCTGGCGCACCGTGGCCCGCCGCAGGAAGCCGGGCGCCTGCTCACGCGGCTCCGCCCGAGCACGCCGACCGTGGCCGTGCGCCCTAGTCCCAGCGCCTCTGGCAGCCATGCCATGGCAGCCGGTACCTGAGCGGGCATCGCGGGGCGTCGACTGCGACGCTGGAGCAGCCACACGCGGACGCCAGCTGCCGCTCCCAGCGGCGCTCGAGGTGGGCCTCTCCGTCTGGCCTCGCGGCCGCTGGGGGCGCCAGGAGCTGGGCGGCGCTGGCATAGGCGCGGCACAGGCTGGGCGGATAGGCAGCAGCTAGACTGGTCTTCCACTCCCAGCGTCCCTTCACCAAAACCTTGCCCTGCAGAACTTCGCAATGCCGCCGGCACCTGCACTCGCGGGCCAGGGAGGCGAACAGCGGGTGGGAGGCCGCAAGCCTCGTAGGCTTCTGAAAGGGCGTCCCAAAGCGGCACTGGCACAAGTCGACCACCGTCGAAGCTGACGCCCGAAGCGCCCTCGCCAGAGGTCTCCACGTCCAGAGGCGCGACCGCTGAGGATTCTCGAGAGTGGACCCCGGATCGCCGGCACTCCTGGATCAGGCGAACTGTGAAGCGCGCCGCGGCCAGCCCTCCCGCGGGTTCTACGGTACCCGAAGAACGTGCAATCGACCACCGCGTGCACGGGGTCGCAAGATGCATGAGCCAAATAGCGCCGGAGCGGATCCACCCGATGACAACCCTCTGGACCTTCGGGTCCGTGATGTCGAACTGCGGGCCCTTCACGAGGTCCATGGGAGCCCCAGCACGCAGCCCAGCCTCCAGGATGGCCCCCGCCAGGTACCCCTTGCCCGAGAAGATCTCCAGGAAGAAGCGCCGGCCCCGTCGAGGCCTCTGTCCGACCTGACCTCCAAGACGCGCAGGAGCGGGAGGAGGATTGAGACCTGGTGGAGGACGTAGCTCGGGAAGGTGCCCTGGAACGTCGTGCCTGGCCCTGGGCGTCGAACCCTCTTGACCTCCAAGACGCTCGGGGACAGGAGGAAGTTCCAGACCAGGTGGGGGACGTGATCCAGGGAGAAGCTCCGCTGCCCGATGACTGGCTCTCGTTGATGGGCGCCCTGGAGGTACCTCGTTGGAGCTCCTGGTAGAAGGCCTTTTCAAAGCAGGGATGGAGAGACGATCGGGAGGGCGTCCGGACGGAAGTCGACCGCGCGGCCCTCGCCACACCTGGCCGGGCTGCAACAGCCCGCGGTCCGCCGCCCGACTCATGTAGTCCGCCGCGTTCCGCACTCCCTCGACATGCCGTTGTCGCCACACGATGCCGGAGGCCAGCTGCAGCGCGGCCGCCCGTCGGCATTGTGCGAGGAGCTCCCTGTTTGCCGCGCGGCCCTTCTCGAAGGCCAAGACCGAGCCCATGTTGTCCCCTGCGGAGAGGAGCTCCGTGTCGTGGTACGGCGGATGACTGGCAGCTCGAGCCAGGCCCATCAGCCCGCAGCGCGCCTCGTAGTCGTGGATGCGGCTCGAGTCGCGCCAGGCCCCGGCAACGACCAGCTCCCAGCGCCCGGGGTCGACAAAGTCGTCGGGTAGCGGTGGCGGTCGCCAGCCGGAGTCGACCTCGACTCGGCAGCGCTCCGGCACGGCCCCGCGAGCACGGCCCCGCTCGAGTAGCCCGTCCCACCAGCCCTCGCCAGCGTCGCCAATCGCCATGGAGCCCCTGAAGCCGTCGTGCTCGCGCTCCACGAACTTCTCTCGACGGCTGAAGCGAGCTCGCTCCCGAAAGCGGCAGAGACTGCGAACCTCCCCGGGCCTCGCATCGGTCTCCAAGAGGGCGTAGCCTTTCATGGAAGCGTCCGTCATGAAGGCGACGGGGCAGGGGGGCAGCCCCCAGCGGCCCACCGCCATGAAGAGGAGCGACCTGGCGACCTTCAGCTCGTGCAGCGCGGCCGTCGGCAACTCGCGGATCGTGCTGAGGTCCTGCTGGACAAAGTCGTACAAGACGCGGAAGATCGAAAGCCCTGGTCTCATCAGCTGGAAGAAAGACACCAGGTGGCCTAGAACAGCACGGATCTGCCACCCCGCGGCCTTGCGCCATCTCAGCAGAAAGGTCAAGCCTCCGTGCAGCCGCCAGAGGCGCTTCGGCTTGGGCCGAACCAGGCCCTGCACGCCATCGACGATAACGCCCAGGATCTCGACCTCGACCCCCGCGTCCTGCCTCTCGTGCCACTTCAAGCCCAGCCGGTCGAGAGCCGCCGTCATGCGCTCGAGTCGGTCCTGCACGAGGTTCTGCTCGATACCAATGATGTTGGCGTTGTCGACGTAAGGTAGGTCGCCGACCATCCCCGGCTCTAGCTGGGCCGCTGGCGCCTTGTCCAGCACCATAGCGTCGCGAGGACCTGCCGAGGATCGCATCACCTGCGCCAACGTCTCGTGGCAGATCCACAGCGCCCAGGACCAGCCCATCGCCAGTCCGCCGTAGGCCGGCCACACATAGTCGTCCGGGGCGACGTCCACGAAAGCCTTCGCGTCGCCGTCGTAGACCTGATGTACGCCTAGGTCTTTCGCCTGGACCCCGGGCATGTCGAACACGAACCACTCGGACAGGTGCGGGATCTTGAACTGGTGGAAGCCGTCCTTCAGGTCGACCGTGGCCGCGTACAGGGCGGCCTCGTCCGGCTTCATCGAGCAGCGCTGTCGCCAGTCGGCCCCAACCTGCACCGACGCAAGCGCCTCCACTGAAGCCATGCTGGTCTGCGGGGGCAGCCGGTGGTACTGGTTGGGCTGTCGGCCGTCCACGATCATGCGGAGGCGATCCCCTTTCTTCTCGACAAAGAACAGCCCCACCGTGGCCTTCTTCCGACGAGTGGCCACTACGATCCCCATGTCGGCGAGACGCTTCAGCAGTGCGAGCAGGCGCGGGTGGTTGGCGCGGACCCTCGGGTTCAAGAGAGGATCCCAGTACGGCTCGATGTGGGGCTCGTCTGCGAGCTCGTCCGAGTGCCGCTCCAGGAACCTCTCGGGCTCCATCAAAACTTGTCGAACGTGATCTGGGACGAGGTCGAGCGCCTCCCGAGGCTCCACCGAGCCCTGCAAGAGGGAGACCTTGTCCTGAACGAAGGGCCGAACCGTGAGCCGACCCTCCTCGGAGTAGATGTTGCTGGACTTGAGAAGCTCCTGAAAGGCCTCTCGAGGCCGAGCATCGGGCGGAGGCGGACCATGTCGAGCCACCGATCGAACCACTCGGCCAAGCGCGGACTCCTGCGAAGGGGTCAGCGCCGAAGTCTGGCGCACCCGTCCTGGCTGGAGGGTGTGTGACGCTCGAGCGGCGGCCAGCGCGTTCAGGCTCGAGAAGATGTCCTCGGTCGCCTGGCGCGTCCAGTCCCGCTTCGTGCGGCGGCGAGCGGCCCGGCGACCCGCCGGGCGCTCTCTGCTGGTCTCCTCGAAGAAGTCCGAGGGCAGCACCAGGGGGAAGGGGTCGGACGCCATGCTGACGACGTGCCCTTCGAGACAAAATTGTGAACAAAAATGCGGCGGCCGTAGAGCTGGTCCTTGGCCACCTGGAGCCCTGCCTCCGGGATGGAGGACGGGTGGAGCGGAACGTGCCGCCCCAGGCTACTTCTTGTTGCCGCCTCCCGCTCCGCCTCCGCCAGACTTTTTGGCTTCGGCATCTCTCTCCTCTGTATACAGCACTGCCTTTGTCTTCTGCTCCTGTGCGACCCACTCGTCGAACTTGCTGGTGACAACACCACCGGTCTCGTCGAGCGCCGAGGCCAGCATGTCCTCCAAGCCCGAGTAGTTGGGGTGCTTCGGGTCGCGCCGAATGGCACGTTGCATCTGCACGATCCTCCTCGCGATGAGCTCGGCCCCCGCCAGATTCGTGACGTCGACCTGGTCGTACTCGATGAGGTGCCGCAAGGCCTCGAGCAGAAGGCGGATCTCGTGCGCTGCAGCGCTGCCGGGAGGCACCCCGCTGCTGGTGATGTAGTGGTTCGCGTAGCCCGCGATGCCCAGCCCCGGCGCCCGCACGCTGTCCAGGAACTCGGGCAGCGACTTCGGCCCGCGGAACACCCAGTCGCTGACGTCCTGTGGGCGGTGCGCCTCGATGGCCTGGTCCAAAGTCGCTCGTCGGGGTCCACCTGGTCCTACCCGCCGGACGGGGCACACCCGTGGGTCCCGACCGGGCCCCGAGTGCTTCTCGTCCAGCCACTGCTGGTGCCGCTCCTCCGGCACGTTCTCGCAAGCTGTGAAGATCCCGTCGTCGTCGTTCCCGTCCAGCATCGCCAGTGCCACAGCTCCACGGCGCACGAACCTGTCCTCGGCCCCGCTGATCGCCGCGTCGATGACCAGCCCGAACTGCGGGTGAGCGGGGTCGGCCACCACCCAGCGGGGAGGGGCCGCCGCTGCGCCGCGTGGCACGTCGATGCCAAGCACAGCCGCCAGCGCCGCCGCCTGCTCTCGAATGGCTTCGAGCTCGCCCTCCTCGAACGGGTCGAACGCATACAGCTGGCCCGCCAGCCGGCGAGGGAAGGGCGAGTTCCGAGGCAGCGGCACCACGCGGTGCGTGGTGAGGTCCCCGAACTGCACACTGTGGTCCGGGGTGACCCAGATCCACTTGCCCGCCCCCGCCGGCACGAGAAGCACCCGAACGTGGAAGAGGAACCCGTTCGGGTCGTCGAAGAAGTCGATCGCAACCTGTGCCTCTGGGATGTCGAGGCTTCGCGCCATCAGCGGCGCTTAGCCCGCAGGGAGCCGGGCGTCGCGGCCAGGCGCCCTCCGTCCTCGCTGGCCAGAGCGGCCGCTGGGCCGCCAGCGTCCAGCGCCAGGAGCAGCTCGTCGTCCTCGAGCGCGGGCCGCCCCGCCTGCAGCGCCGTGGGCCGGCGCAACCCCCAGACCGCCCCCACGAGTGCGGTGGCCAGGGCGCCGACGGCCGCCCCAGCGGCGAAGGCCCCCAGCGCTGGCCCAGGCACCGGGCAGCGCACCTCAGGGCAGCCCGGGCAGACCGGGCAGGTCAACTGCTCCGGGCCGCACCTGTCGAGTTGCCTGCCCAGCAGCCCGACGATCTCCGTCGGCACCGAGCAGTCTGCCACGCAGCTGCAGTCGGGGCACCGCGGAGGGAGGAGATATGGCGCGAGCGGGGCCACTGCCTGGAGCCCTCGGAAGGCCCAGTCCATCCCCCGCCAGAACTCCTTGAGCCGCAGGGGCCGCGGGAGACACAGGCAAGGCACAGGGGCCCCGAGGACCTTCACTATCTCCCGCTCTGAGAGGCTCCTTGAGGTGTCGCAGAAACGTTTATAAACCAAGCATGTTTTACAGCGCCTGACGGAGCTGAAGGCCTCCAAGACGCTCCAATACGGCCCGAAGGGGGCCCCAATACAGCCCAAGAGGGCGCGGGGGCTGCGCATTGGTACGAATTTAACGAAATGTCGTACCAGTGTGCAGCCCGGGCCAAGAGGCTTCACAGGAGGGCCCAAAGATGCAAAATCTGGTCCTGCAGCCCAGGCGAGAGATATGAGTAGTGTTTCTATGGTTTTGGAAGGGTTTTCGGGTTCTCGCCTCTTGAAGCCAAGAGCTGCCCAAAACAGCCCAGGAGACTCCAAATATCATTCCAAGACGGCCCGCTGCGAAGGCGTCCTCCTCCTCCTCCTCCTCCTCCTCCTCCTCCTCTTCTGCTCCCCGTCCTCCCCCTCTCACCGGCGAGGGGAGAATCTGAAAAGCCAGGCGACCAGGCGAAAACTCCCAAACTCCAACAGCCCAAAAGGGCGCGATGGCTGCGCAGTGGTACAGATTTTAATACAATTTCGTCTCGCAGAGCACTCGCGAGACACCAAAATAACCCCAGGACCCCCCGACGGTCAGGAAACCAGGGATCCCCAAAGTTTCAAAACTTGTAAAAGTTTCAAAGGTTTTAAAAGTTTCAGGCGCCCTAAAGTTTTTTAAACTTTTAGAAGTTTTAGACCTTTGAAAGTCCCTGGGCCCTGGATTCCCAGATCTCCAGGACCCCTCGACGGTCAGGAAACCAGGGATCCCAAAGTTTCAGAACGTTTAAATTTTCTAAGAAGTTTTAAAAGTTTCAGGCGCCCGAAAACTTTTAAAACTTTAAAAGAGTTTAAAACTTTTGAAAATCCCTGGGCCCTGGGTTCCCAGATCTCCAGGACCTCCTGACGGTCAGGAAACCAGAGACCCCCACAGTTTCAAATGTTGTATCTCCCAGGTCAAGGGAGGAAGAGGGTAACGGAATGATGAGGAGGGCGAGGGGTGGGGAGGAGGAGGAGGAGGAGGAGGAGGAGAAGGAAGAGGATGAGGAGGAGGAGGAGGAGGAGGGGGAGGACGAGGACGAGAGGGCGGGGTCGACCGTGCCCCCCCCCATGTCTGGTATGTGGTTGTGGTCGTCCGTACCCCCCCCTCCCCCCTGAGTCTCGGCTACACGTCAGAGCGACCCTGGGTAAGAGGTGACCTTTGGTGCGCGGCTCTTGGGGGGCCGCGGGGAGGCCAAGTCTGGGCGCCCTCGCCGCTGCTGCCGCCTCGCGTTCGGCCATCTGGGGGCCCACCTGTGCCCGCACCAAAGGTCACTCCGGCGAAAGATCACTCTTTGGGCGCTCGAGTTATCCGGGGTAACTCTGGTCCGGGGTAACTCGGGTTCGGAATCCCGAAAAACGAACCCGAGTTAGCCCTGACCCGAGTTACCCCTGATGATTCGGGGCTCTGGACGCCCGAATTATCCGGGGTAACTCGGGTCCGGGGTAACTCGGGTTCGGAATCCCGAAAAACGAACCCGAGTTAGCCCTGACCCGAGTTACCCCTGATGATTCGGGGCTCTGAACTCTTGCGTCTCGTCGACTGAGCCTGCCGCCGCCCCTGCAGGGGTCCTGCCCGGCCTCCAGGGCCGCGACGCGGAAGAGCGCGCCCGCGCCGCCGGGCGCCCCGGCGCCCGCGCCCGCCCTGCGACTGGCCTTGTGTCGGGCGTGTCCTCCCTACAGGGGGATTTTCGACGAAAAATCAACAATACCCCAGAAATACCCCAGAAACGCAAATAAATACCCCCAAAATAGTCCCCAGACTATTTCTGGACTTTGTTTTGCTTATTTTGGGGGTATGTTTTATTTGTCGCCGAAAATACCCCTGTAGGGGGACAGGCCCGCCCTTTCGACGCCCGAAATGGGCACGGAAAGAATGGGCACAATGCCCAACAGCACATGTTGTCCCAAAGCAACAGCGGCCGCTGTTGGCAGCAGGCGGCCCCCTGTCTCGAATTGACACAGGCCGCGGCGGCGTGGACAGCGAGAGTCCTGTTCAAAATGAACAGGAACTGCTGTTGGGCATTGTACAGTCGGGGCGTTCACCTAAGGAACCCTAAATAGGGAACGAGGCCCCTTGTTTCCACAAGTTAAACTTCGATTTCCGGTCGAAAACGTAAGGAAAACCTGAGGCAAGCTGTGAAACACTTAAGGAACGCGGAGCCCCTCCCCAACCAAAAGGGTTCCTTCTTCAGGGCCCCGACTGTACCCATTCTTTCCGTACCCATTGCGTTCGTGCCGACGCCCTGCGACTGGCCGCCGCCGCCGCGGCCGCGCCCGCGGCGCGCAGCGCGCGGGCCATCGCTCGCTGGGCGCGCCGCGCCCGGCAGCGCGGAGGGCCGGCGGCCGCCCTCGGCGGCCGCACCCGGCGCACGGGGCAATCGACGCGCCTTTGGAGGGCCGCGAGAGGCGGGCCCCCCGCAGGGGAAGCCCTGCCGGCTGCCGAGGAGTCGCCTCCGAACCCTGCCCTGCCAGGAGGGCGAACAGATAGCAGTAGGTCGGGCCTGTCCCCCCCCCTGCAGGGGGATTTTCGACGAAAAATAAGAGATGCCCCCAAAACACCCCAAAGAGGCCAACAAATATTCAAGAAGTAGTCCCCAGATTATGTTTGGAGTATTTGTTGACTTTTTTGGGGGTATGTTTCATTTTTCGTCGACATCCCCCTGTAGGGGGACAGGCCCGACTTACAAAAATAGTACCAGGACGTCGACATCTCATTTCCAGTCGAGGTTCTAGGCAGTCCAGGTAGGTCTATAGGTCTGGAGGGCTATTCTCGGCGGTGGACAAACCTCCCTTTAGTAGACCTCCCCTTTGTGAAAACGGCCTGGGACCGAAATCGACGGACCTGGACCCGCAAAAATGACGGCCGCGACGCACTCTCGCGAACCGAAAACGGCCAATTCCTTAATCGACGTGTGTCAGGGTAGGAGGTCTGTCCAACCCCGATATTCTTTAGCACTCTTAGAGGCCTCCTAGATGGGGTCGGAGTAGATGGCGTCGGAGGATCGCGCCGCATCGCCGATGCACGGGTGACGTCGGCGATGCCTCGGCGACGGTGGCGTGGAAAAACTTGGGCCCCACATCGAGCCGCATCGCTGATGCATCGCTGATGCATCGGCGATGCGGCGCGATCCTCCGACCCCATCTACTCCGACCCCATCTAGGAGACCTAGCACTCTGCAAGGTCAGGGAAGCTGCCGGGCCTTCCCCGAGAAGGCCCCGGCCTCCCGCGGAGGCCCTGGCGCGCCGCAGCGCCTGCACGACGCGGGCGGGCCCGCTCCGCCCGCGGGGTGCCTCACAGATCGCTCGGACTCGCGAGCTGAGGCCTGACAGTGGGCCCAAGGGGCCCCCCTCCCCCGCCTCCTCTGCCTCCTCCTCCTCCTCCTCCTACTCCTCCTCCTCCTCCTCCTCCTCCTCCTCCTCCTCCTCCTCCTCCTGCTCCTCCCTGCTCCTCCTCCTCCTCCCGTCCTCCTCCCCCTCCCCCTCCCGCGCCCCCTCCTCCTCCTCCTCCTCCTCCTCCTCCTCCTCCCCTCTCTCCTCCTCCTCCTCCTCCTCCTCCTCCTGCTCCTCCTCCTCCTCCGTCCTCCTCCCCCTCCCCCTCCCGCGCCCCTCCTCCTCCTCCTCCTCCTCCTCCTCCTCCTCCTCCTCCTCCTCTTCCTCCTCCGCCTCCTCCTCCTCCTCCTCCTCCTCCTCTCCTCCTCCTCCTCCTCCTCCTCCTCCTCCTCCTCCTCCTCCTCTCCTCCTCGCTCCTCCTCCTCCTCCCTCCTCCGCCTCCGTCCTCCTCCCCCTCCCCCTCCCCCGCCCCCCTCCTCCTCCTCCTCCTCCTCCTCCTCCTCCTCCTCCTCCTCCTCCCGCCTCCTCCTCCTCCTCCTCCTCCTCCTCCTCCTCTCCTCCTCCTCCTCCTCCTCCTCCTCCCTCCTCCTCCTCCTCCTCCTCCTCCTCCCCCTCCTCCTCCTCTCCTCCTCCTCCTCCTCCTCCGCCTCCTCCTCCTCCTCCTCCTCCCCTCCTCCTCCTCCTCCTCCTCCTCCTCCTCCTCCTCCTCCTCCTCTCCTCCTCCTCTCCTCCTCCTCCTCCTCCTTCCTCCTCCTCCTCCTCCTCTCCTCCTCCTTCCTCCTCCCTCCTCCTCTCCTCCTACCTCCTCCCCCTCTCCTCCTCCCTCCTCCTCCTCCTCCTCCTCCACCTCCTCCTCCTCCTCATGCTCCTGCTCCTGCTCCTCCTCCTCCATCTTCTCCTCCTTCTCCTCCTTCTCCTCCTCCTCCTCCTCCTCCTGCTCCGGTCGTGATTTTCCACGCCAGAAGCATTGATGTCTTTTGCAAGTTTTTCGGGCTCTCCCCTCTTCCGTCCCAGAAGGGCCCCAGACGGCTCAAGAGGCCCCAAAGAGCGTCCCCAGAGGGCCTCTGAGGCGCCCCAAAGGGGCCCAAAACGGTCCAA